GATTCAGGACCAGTGGGGCCCCAGGTTGTCTCACTCACTCCTGAGATCTCAATTTCTAATAGGCTCCTGCCTGTTGCTGCTGACATTCTGCAGATCCCACTGGAAGCATCCAGGGCCTAGAGGGCAGGGACACTTCCTCTCTTGAGTTGCCAGGGTGTTTTTGAAGGATATGTGTGAGGAATTAGCATGGCCTTGGGGTCAGACCATTCTAGGGAATGTGTCATTGGTTCAACAGACTGCTGCCTCCTGGAAGGGGCAGGGACCACCCAGTGGAGGTGGAATGTTCGGGATAACAGTGCTGTTATGTTTCATTGGGTCTTGGAGGGCATCAAAGTTTAGGGAATCATGGTGTCCTGGAGACACCAAATGTACTTACAGATTATATGCAACCTCAAGAGACAGCACATGGGCACAGCTATCCCAATTGCTCAGAGATGGTAAGCTTTCCAAGTGTCCTGGATGAATCTGAATGTTAGGATGTTCTAGGAATTTCAGTTTATTGCAGACTGGGTCCTGAGGTTTGGGTGGGTCAGGATAAAACTGGGGTAAAGATGCTCTTGTGAATCAAGGTTTCCTAAAGGTCTGTCTGACCTTGAAAAGTCATGGTGTCCCAGAGTTTCTGGATGGAGGAGGAGATGGTTTTGGAGGAAGGCAATTCGAGAGTGCGTGAGAAGTTACAGAGCCTGGAGGCGCATCCTATTGACTGCGCTCAGGTTGTCCTGGGGGGGGGGCGTGCTGGTGTAGTCTGAGTTGACATTGTGCCTGGCAGAACATTCACTGTGGCTTTCTGTTTTTTGGTTTCCTGGAAACAAATCCTAGGGTGTCGCCTACTTGCTGAAATGGCAGGAAGGCTGTGCTTCAGGCTCCCAGCTAGTCCCTGTTTTCACCCCCTCCCACAGTGGGGTCCTAAAGAGCAGAGTCTTAGGAGGAATGCATTTCCCCTCCTTCCCCTGCCTGTTCCCAGAAGAGGATTTGACAGGACAAAAGAATCTGGTCCCCTGGGAACCCGAGCTCTTGGCCCCAGTCCCCTGGACCCTCTGACTGAACACCTTCCCTCATCTCGCTTGGGATCCTCTCCGGAGCAAGGGGCTCTGGTGACCAGGTAGTGATTGGATGGGCCCAGAGGTGACTGCAAGGATTGGAGTGAGGGGCGGAGTGGGAAAGCAGGCAGCTGGCAGAGAAGAGCAGCACGTGACAGGGAGAAGGGTCAGAGAGGAAGAGGAGAGAAAAGCAGCGAAACAGGTGAAGTTGAGACGGTGAGAACAAGGAGAAACTCTAGAAAACAGTGGGGAACTAGGGAAAAAAACTAGAAAAAAGGGAGAAGAGAGAGTGAAGAAGACAGAGAACTGTCTATTCCTATATCTACACATTTGTTTACACACAGACACGCAAACACATACACACAGAGACACACACAAACACACATCAAACAGAGACACAGACTCAGAAATAAGGATAAACAGAGGGAGGAGAGAGATTGTAGAAGGGACCAAAAGAAAGACTGGTGTGGAGTCTGAGGCCACCAGAGACTGGATTGTCTGTGGCCTTGGTGCCAGCCATGGAAGCCGAAGGGAGGACCCTGCAGGGTAAGCACAAGAAGGGCCGAGCAGGCGGCAGCCTCTGGCCTGAGCAGTGTCCTTTGGCCAGGCCTCTGGCCTCCACCCGAGGTGAGTACCCCCTGGGGGGGGGTCCCGAGGGGCGCAGGTGTGGGGCTCAGTTTCTGGTCTCCTCTGGAGATGGCTCACCTTGAGCAAGGCTATGGGAAAAACCAAAGCACTTCAGCTTGCTAAGGCCAGGGCAACCTGGGGAAGCCCAGGGAATCTCCAGTAGCTCCTGTGATTTACAGATGGGGAGTGGGGCCTGGGGAGGAGCACCCGCCTTGGGTCTCCCTGCACTCCTAAGGCTGAGTCCACCGGGGCACTGTTCCTATGGGGGACACTCAGGGTCAGGCTGTGGTCCAGGGAGAGCAGCCCCACATATGTCTGTCCACAGGGTGGACGCAGTGCAGGGTGGCTGCACACCCACAGGTCACCCAGGGGCCGGGCACCAGGGCTCCAGACGCCCCTTTTCTCAGCGTGCACCTTCCCAGGTGTTTCCTCTGCCCACCCTGCTCCCTTCCCCGAGGCAGCTTTCAGGCTAATTAGTGTGGGGGCTTAGTGAGCCTGCAGGAGGGGAGGTGCACCTTTCCCACGAGCTCAGGTTCCTGCAGCCTGGTGGCCCAGCCAGGGCAGGGTTGGAGGACTGGACGAGAAGTGTACATGTGGGGAGAGGGTAAGCTATCGCAGAGCGGGGCAGGGCAGGGGATGCCTGGCCTGCGGGGGAGCGGGAGGGGGACATGCGCTGTGCGGAGGACACAGGCAGCCCTGGTGCCTCAGGGTGGGCTACGCAGGAGCTCGGGGTGAAAGGCGCAGGGCGGGGCCGGCAGTGGGGAGCCAGCCTCCTCTTGGAGGCGAAGCGTGGATGCCTGGCTGGGAAGCAGGCTTGAGGGGCGACCCAGCCGGCTTGAGGGGACTCTAGGCAAAGTGGAGATGAGGCTGAGTTGTGTGCAGGTCGCAGGTGTGAAAGCAGGAAGGAGCACCTCTGTGAGAGCGGGAGACCCAGGTGGAGCGCAGAGGGGCGCAGCTGCTCACCATGGGGCGGCGCCAGGCCCCGGACCCCCCTGACGCCCTGGCCTTCCTCCCCAGACTCTTGCGCTCAGTCTCCCAGAGGGCTGCCGGGGGCCGGAACGGGGAGGCCCGGGGTCTCTCTCTCCCGACAGGGAGGACAGCGGGGTCTGCCGCACTCCCGCCGCCGGCACCGCACCACCTTCAGCCAGGCGCAGCTGGAGCAGCTGGAGTCGGCCTTCGGCAGCAGCCAGTACCCTGACATCTGGGCCCGAGAGGGTCTCGCCCGGGACACAGGTCTCAGTGAAGCCAGAATCCAGGTGATGCCCAGATCCCCCCAGCTCAGGGACGAAAAGCAGCTTTCTGTGTTGTTGAGGACTTGCCTGACTCAAATCATCGTGCGCTTTCCGATCCTGAGCTACATGGTCACCGGAACGCGGGCCACATCCAACTTAGCTTCAGCGCACCCTGAACATCACCTGAGTGCGACTTTAGCTCTAGGCTGGTTACCTTAAATTTCAACACCTTCGCCCAGCCCCTAAGGTGGACACGGAGTCCACCAGAACCCCCTGTGCGCTCGCACAGGCCTCATCCTTGTCCCTGCCGCAGCCCTCCCAGCAAAGCCACGCAGTCTCTCGCCCGCCACTAGCGAGCCTCAGCACAGCGTACCCTGAGGCCAGCCTTGTCCGCAACAGCTATACGTACACGTGGTCATTTCTAAACCCAAACCCAGGGCAATTTCCCATTACCTGGGAGCAAAAGTGCCGCTGTGTCATATTCGTCCCTTCTTATTGGAATGCCCCTTTTTCACATGTCCAAAGCTGTAGAAACTGGGCGAACTCAGATGCAGGTCGGGGCATGGGCACAGGTCTCACTGTCGCAAGCCTGGCTCAGCAGGAGGCGCGGCTGTGCCTGGGCCTCCCGTCGCTGCAGGAGGCACCAGAGCCTGAGGTGCTGTTCCCCTTCCTCAGGTCTGGTTCCAGAACCGCAGAGCTAAGCAGCGGAAGCAAGAGCGAGCACTGCTCCAGCCCCTGGCCCGCTTGCCGCCCGCCACCTTCCCCTCGGGGCTCTTGCCCGAGTCTCCGGCGTGTCCCTACTACGCAGCAGCCCCTCCACCCGGGACCTGCTTCCCGCATCCCCACAGCCACGCCCTCCCCTCCCAGCCCTCCGCCGGTGGCCGGTTCGCACTACCCCCGCCGCCGCCACCGCCAGAGGACTGGTACCCCGCCCTGCCCCCGCCCCCCGCCACTCACCTGCCCTGCCCCCCACCCCCGCCCCTGCTCCCATTCGGCCTTGAACCGCCCAGGTCCTGGAACTAAGACCAGACGGTACCAGTGAGAGGTCATGGCTAGCTTGTGGCCTTCGGGTGGTTCCCTTCCTCCTGAAGGCGAAGTCAAAAATAAGGGGAGGGGCAGCTCAGATACTGGAAATTTTAAAATGGGACATCTGGGTGAATTCTCCAGGCAAAATACTGAAAGAATCTGGGGTGGTGAAATAGTGATAGAGTCGGGCCAACAGGCTTTGGGGAGGTGACATCGCTGGAGACGCCTTTGGCTGGTGAATGGAGGTGATCTTGAGGGGTTTCGTTCAATTCATCCTTGTTAACTTTGGCCATTTTTTTAAACTTTTCTTTTTTTTTTTTTTTTTTTTTTTGAACTAGGGATTGAACTCAGGCCCTTGCACTTGCCAGGGAAGCACTTATTCTGCTGAGCCATCTTCCCAACCCTTAACTTTGGCCATTTTTGATGATACGTTATCTGAGAAAGATGTCTCCTTTTTAAACTTTTTTCATTCATTGCTAGTAGGACTCAAAATAGCTTCATGTTTATTGACAGTTTCTATATTTTTTCTTCACCACATTGCTCTGAGTTACTTGTGTCTTTGCATATTGATATCTTCTATGCACACTTGAGAGTTTTGCGTTTTAGGGATCTAAACAACTGTCCATAGATGTTGTAACTTTCTTTTTTTATGTATTTAATACAGAGTCTACAGGGTTTCACTACACAACTTGGACTCATACCAATCCTCCTGTTTTCAGCCTCCCAAGGGCTAGAATTACAGGCACATGCCACCATGCCCTGTCTCAATCACTGGGTCTCAGTGCACCCCAAGGGCAGGGCTGGCATGGCACGCCGTGGATTGAACCCTGGTCCCTGAGTCTGCCTAAGCAGGCACTTTAGGTCACTGAGCTATCTGGCCAGCCTGATGTTGTAACCTTCTAATGTCTTGTTATTTACTTTTTAAGACTCACCCAGTGAAGGTTTTCTTGTAGAATTAAGCTCTAATTCATCAGACCCCTATTGTATATAGCAAATTAACTTCTATCTCAAATATTTACAGTGGTAGCAGTTCTGTAGAACTGGTAGAAATCAGTTTGTTTCTGTGGTCATTAGTCTAGAGGGTGCAGAATCACTAAGGGGAAAGAGGGACTTGATGGACGGGACCCAACAGATTCCTTTCCAGGGAGACCAGCCATCATCTGGAGGGTGGAGGATAAGGGTGACAGATGAGAGTGACGGGAATTGTGGCTGTAAACCAACTTTGTAGGACTTGCTAAAACTGAGCAGTGTGGAGATGGACATGGAAATCTGAAAATCAAGGTGAGAAAAAAAGCTCAGAAGAATCTGAGCTGAGAAGGAAGCCTTCATCACCTTCAAGGAGGTCTCCTGGAGGCCTTGGTGTCTTCTCTTCATCCCCGGACCTTGGTTTCACAGTGACAGGACTGTGTGCCAA